GTGAGTTGTCCATGCAGCGTGTGGATAAGGATCCATCCCTCTAGGGTCACCCTCTCATGTTTCTCTCTTGATAGTGTACACGCGGTAAGAGGAAAACTGGCCAGTGTGTTGTGGTTACTGAATTTCTTCTCTACTTGTAATTTCCTTGGATGTATACATGTTTTATTCGCATATCTTCTCTATATTCTAGATTAGGAATGTATACATGCCTTATTTTTCACATCTTCTCTATATGCTGGATTGTTGACTGAAACAGAGCATGCTACGTTATCTGTGTGCACCGTGGAGGCTTTATCTATAATTCATGACTTGATATTATTATTTGTTGTGTACTTGTGAGGTTTATGAACTGTATAATTTATTAGCGAGTATCAATAATAATTCTTCCCTCTATTTCCTTGCCGAGGTTAGTTATGATACTTGCTGAGTACATGGGGTTGGTTGTACTCATACTACACTCTGCACTTAATTGTGCAGATCCAAGTGTTGGACCGAGCCGTGAGTAGCTAGGATTCCTTGCTGCTGATTATCTTCGAAAGATGAGTAAAGCTGCATTTCGACTGCAGGCTTGGTGTCTCTTTTCATTTATGTATTGTTGCTTTCATTCAGACAATATTTTACTTTGTATTCTAGACTTGTACTTCCATTTTAGAGCTCATGACTCTATATTTACCATATTTGGGGGATTGTTATGTATCGACGTTGTTATTGTGTTTAGCTTTCCTAGCAAGTGAGTTAGGCGCCATCACGACCGATTGGTGGTTTTGGGTCGTGACAGAAAATCTGGCCTATGAGGAGGAGCCATTGGCCATTTTGTATTGGCAGGTACGGAAGCTCAGGTCTAAAGATATTGCATCGGTGAAGGTGCAGTGGAGAGTTCAACCAGTTGAGGAGGCGACTTGGGAGATCGAATACGATATGTGGAGCATATATACTCATCTTTTTGGTACTTCAGTTATGATTCTTAACTCGTTCATGGATGAACGTTTGTTTAAGATGGGGAGAATGTAATGACCCGACCAGTCATTTTGTGTATTTGAGCCCCGTTTTCCCATTTGATGTTTCCCATGTGCTTAGTTGTTATTTTTGTGACTTTCAAGAAAGGTTGGTTTGGTTCCAGGAAGGTTTTGGAGTGAATTGGATCACTTAGTTCCATTGTTAGAAACTTAAGTTATAAGAGTTGACTTAGCTTTGGATTTTGTGTTAATTACCTTGGATTCATATTGTGATAGTTCCAATAGGTTCGAATGGTAATTTTGGACTTAGTCATATGTCCGGATTGGAATTTGGAGGTTCCTAGGAAGATTTGGCTCTTTTTGCCGAAAGTTGGCAATTTGAAGGTTTAGAAATTTTATAAGTTTGACCATGAGTTGACTTTGAGGCTTCCGGGTTCGGACCATTGTTCCGGGACTTGAAATAGGTCCATTTTATCATTTGAAACTTGTGCACAAAGTTTGGTCTCATTCCGAGTCGATTTGGTAGGAATCAGACGGTTGGTTGTGAATATTAAAGTTCTTGAATTTTAAGGTTTTGCATGATGCGTTTTGGTGTTATACTTGTTATTTTGGATAATATTTTGATGTTTTGATCTTGCGAGCGAGTTTGTATGGGGTTTGTATACATTTGTGGATCTTGGCATGGGGCCCGAGGGGCTCGGGTGAGTTTTGGATGAGTTTGGAATGATTTTTGGAGAAGTTTTAGTTTTCTGGTGCTGCAAACCTCGCATTTGCGATGGTATGCTCGCATTTGTGAAGGCCCGCATTTGCGAACTCCTGATCACATTTGTGACATTTGGCTCAGAAGGCCAACTTCGCATTTGCAAAGCTGGTGTCACAATTGCAACATCCACATTTGCAAAGGAGACATCGCATTTCCCACGCTTGGTCGCATTTGCGAAGACTGCAGCTCAGGGGCCATGTTTGCACTTGCGAGCCCTTCTTCGCATTTGCGAGGGTCACATTTGCGAACCCCTGGTCGCAAATGCGACATCCATAGCTGATATTATAAGAGCCATTCGGGACGTAGGCTCATTTTCTCATATTTTGAACTCTAGACTTGAAAAAGAGCAATTTTTGAAGAGGATTTTCACACAAGGAAAGTGGGTAAGTGATTATCACTAGATTTTAATATTATATCTTTATTTTCCATGGATTTTACACCTAAATCATGGATTTGGAAGAGAATTTTTAGGGGGGTTTTACTATGTTTTGAAAATAAAAATTGGGGATTTGAGAGCCTTTTGGACTTGCTTTTGGAATCTAATCACATATTTGGATTCGTGGTGTTATAGGTATTCAGGATCTACCCCTTGACTCAGGTTTTGACTGTGTGAGCCCGGGTTAACTTTTATTGACTTTTGAGAAATTGGATAAAGATCGGTACTTTATTTTCTAGAATTGATTCATATTGCATTGTTCGACTTTATTGATTTGTTGTTGGCTAGATTTGAGCCGGACTGAGGTAATTTTTTTAAAGAAAAGGCTATTTTAGAGGATTTATTTGGGCTTATTGAGGTAAGTATCTTGCCTAACCTTATACGGGGGAATACCCCTTAGGATTTGGCCATAATTGCCTAATTGTGTTATGTGAAAAATGACGTGTACACGAGTCCTATGTGTGGATTACAATCGGGTTACACCTTAGGCTTCTAATATGCCTTATTTTGATAGTATGCTCTATATAAAACATATTTAATCACTCTGTGACTACATGAACTTGATTGCTACAATAGATTTAGCCGTAGTCATGCTTTATATGGCGAATACCTATCCATATTTTTTTTATTATTGTCATGTCCTTGTGAACCTTATTGACAAATTATGAGCTTATATCTTTGACGGTAATTTGGCATATTGTATTGTGATTATTATGGCACATGTAGACATGTTGGGCAGAGTGGTTGGGTGTTGGTACGAGGTCTTTCCCATAAAATGTTGATTATTGTGTTGCACATATGACAAAACAAGGGTGACATCCTTGGGTTTGCACATGCGGCGTAATAAGGGTGACGATCTTGACTATGCGCATGTGGCAAAATAAGGGTGACATTTCTTGATTCTTTTCTTGGTACATGTGGCAGAATAAGGATGGAAAATTTGATGATGTTTATGTGTCTGTACGAGGATGACATTCTTGATCATGTACATACATTCTTTGAACTTCGTCATGTATTTTCAACAAGTTTTTAAATCGTATTTTACATGCTATCATATGCCTCTGTTTCTACTTGATAATTTATTTGTCAAAGATGGACTTTTCCTACGTTAAATTGTTGTCACATATTTTAACAAGATGGTTGGTATTGCTTTCCGTTATATATATTCTTGTTGCCAGTTATTGATATATTGCGCAGGTTCTTTGACTAGTGAGTATCATATGACTTGAACCTCGTCACTATTCCACCGAGGTTAGTCTTGATACTTACTGAGTATATATTGTCTCGTACTCATACTACACTTCTGCATATTTTATGCAAATCTGGGGGCTGAAGGTAGTGGACCACGTGAGTGAGCTTGTGACTAATCGAGAGGATTTAAGGTAGTGTTGCATGGACGCCGCCGACCCTTGGAGTTCCCTTCCTTGCTTTTCATACTGTGGTTTTATTTCCAAACAGTATTGTACTTATTGAGACTTCTTTATGTATTTGACTTAGAGCTCATGACTCTGTACTACCTGGTTTTGGGAAGTGGTATTATATATTGCCATGTTTGGCCTTATGTTATCACTGTTTCCGTTCTTATATTAAATTCAGTCTTATTATATTATTTGTTGATGATTTAATATTGTTGATGTCTTTGCCTAGTCTTTTATGTAAAGTGACATCACGAACCCTTTGGTAGAATTTGGGTCGTGACGAAACTAGGGTGATTAGGAACATTATGATAGAGTTAAGAACCGGGTGAGGATTGTGGGAGGAGACTCGAAATACTTTCTAGTTGTGATGAGGTTACACCGGGGATCAAATCTTACCCCGTTTTTATTCGCCTTGACGATAGACGTACTAACGCGTCACATTCAAAGGAGGTGTCATGGTGCATATTATTTGTAAATGACATAGTACTGATCGACGAAACGCGAGGCAATGTTAACGCGAGGCCGAAGGTTTGGAAACATACCCTAGAGTCAAAATGTTTCAAGTTGAGTAAGACCAAAACAAAATAATTGGAGTGCAAGTTCAATGACATGAGTCATGAAGAGGATGTGGAAGTGAAGCTTGACAGTCAAGTCCTTCCCAAGAAAGAAAGTTTTAAATACCTTGTGTCAGTAATTCAAGATAATGGAAAGATTAACAAGGATGTCGTATTGAAACATGATGGATGAAATAGATGCTTGTATCCGGTATTTTATGTGATACGAATGTTCCGCCTAGACTTAAAGGCAAGTTCTACATAGTGATGGTTAGACCGACTATGTTGTATAGGACAAAGTGTTGGCCAGTTAAGAACTTCTGTATCCAGAAAATGAAAGTAGGGAAAATGAAGATGCTGAGATAATGTGCGGGCATCAGGAGAGATAAGAGTAGGAAGTTTTTCTGGACATGGTTGGAGTGGTCCTCGTGGAGGACAAGATGCGAGTATTGAGGTTAAGATGGTACGAACATGTGAAGACCAGAGGCGCAGATGCCCCCGTGAGGAGGTGCCTTTGTGGGCCTAAAGAGAGATAGATGTAGGCTTAAGAAGTATTGTGGTAAGGTTACTTGACGCAGCTTCAGCTTACCGAGGATATGACCCTTGATAGGATGGTGTGAAGGTCGATGATTAGAGTAGAGAGTTAGTGGGTAGTAAAACATATTTCTTTGCCATACCAGTTGCACTAATATTTAGTCTTGTATTTTCTTATTCATAGAGTTATGCTCGGTTATGTTATTATATCGTTGTTACTGTATACACTAGCTTCTCCGTACCCCGTTTGCGAAATTTGCACGGATAAAAAAGTAAACGTTCACGTAGTGTGAACGAAGCTAATTGAATAGTATTTTTTTATATATAATCGAGCCCAAAATAGGCACCTCTCGCTGAGCCCAACTCATCGTTTCAATCCTTCTCCCCTTTCAGTTAGTATCAATCTTCTTGTACTGCACAAACAATGGAATACAAATCACTAAAAATCACACAAAAATCCCCAAATTCTCGGGTCTATTACTTGTATCTAAACCGACCCGGCCAGCTCAACGCTCTGTCACGTGACTTCTTCACTGAATTCCCCAAAGCCATCTCCTCACTCGATCACAACCCCGATGTCGCCGTCATCATCCTCACCGGCTCCGGCAAGCACTTCTGTTCCGGCATCGACCTTCAAACGCTCTCTGACGGTTTCAAAGAAACCCACGCCGCTGATCACGGCCGCAACGTCGTGAAGCTCCGGCGACATATCAAGTTCCTGCAAGAGGCTGTTACTGCCTTAGAGAGTTGCCGTAAGCCGGTAATTGCTGCCGTCCACTGCGCATGTATCGGTGGTGCTATTGACATAATTACGGCGTGTGATATTAGGTATTGTTGTTCTGATACATTTTTCTCGGTGAAAGAGGTGGATTTAGCAATTACGGCTGATCTCGGGACACTTCAGAGGCTTCCGAGGATTGTTGGGTTTGGGAATGCAATGGAGTTGGCTTTAACTGGTCGCAGGTTTACGGCTTCCGAAGCTAAAGATTTGGGCTTGGTCTCTAAGGTTTTTACTTCTAAAGAAGCTTTGATGGAAGGTGTCAACGTTGTTGCTGAGGGTAAGTGTTCGTTTTCAGTTTTTCTAAAATACTTTTTGTAGTAAAGTTCCATCCTTTTTTCATTTACCTCTTCGCTTCGATATTTCTTGGTTGAAGAAAAAAATTGTTATTGTTTTAGATCGATGCCTAGTTAAGTTAAGTTATTTTTGAAGACCGTACACTATACATGTGAAATTTAAGCGCATCATGATATCAGGGGAAAAGGGTTTGCTTCTTACTTTTATGAATTGTACCTCTTTAAGTTTTGAAAGGATTGTTAAGAAATCTGTACACTGAAAATAACAGAGTGTACTTGGTAGAGGATAATACCATTCAACATCTAGGCATCCACAATATTAGCTACTACTAATATGTAAATTTGTTTTGCTTCTCAATAGTGATTCAACTGATACTTCGTGCTTTCCAATTTATGTAACATAGTTTGACTTGACACGAATTTAAGAAAAAAACAGACTTTTGAAACTTGTGGTCTTAAACATTTCGTAACATTTGTGTGGCTGTGAAAACTTCTCATTATGGGTACAATGGAAAGTTTAAACTTCCAACTTTTTCCAAATATAAAAATGTAGCTTTTCGTTTTGGAACAGACCAATAAGGAAAGTGTGTCACAAAAATTGGAGCAGAGGGAGTAACTAATGAGTATGAGCTTTCGGTCGCACTGACACTAGAAACCATCTATAACTTCATTACACCTCAGGATTTTCAAGACTATGGTTGGAATCACACAGCCCATCTTATCGCCTTCATGCAGAAATGGTTCTGAGTCTCACTTGGCAGTTGTCCATTCACAATCCCCCCTCGATGGCCTCTTCATTTATAGGCCTTTCTGGGTCCTCCATTCTTAAGAGGACCCTAATGGATTTGGTGCGAAGCAATAAGGCAAAATGGCATTACTGATATGAAGTTATTTGCTCTTTATCTTTGCGTTAAGATGGGAATAATTGCTTCCTCCATCATGATAAACTTAGCCACTTGACCACGATTGGATAATTCTTCACTCCTCAAGACTTTAAAAATATTGCAATAGCAAGAATCCAGCACTAGCTATTAGTTCTCATTCAATGGTTTTTTTTATTGTTCTCGTTCAATGTTTCCTCTACGATATTAGCTTTATTGGCATGCTCTTACGAGCTGGGGGCCTGGAACTTTGTAGCGAATGTTAATATCAACCATTTGACGTCCATCCGATGCATCTGTTATGGTTATAGCGGATGTTGGAATCATTGATTGAAGCATTTTTGACCGTTTATATTAGCTTTATTTATAGGATAAATAGTCACTGATAGAACTTTTATATTCAGACTTCTTTTCCCATTTTTCTTCTTTTATTCTAGTCTTTGACTTATTCAATGTAAATATCTTTCTCTTATGGTTGAGGTCTTATAGTAGTTTCTCGCTATCCTAATTAGCGTGACCTCAAGTTCTTTTCCTGCAAGTTGGAGTGGTTTGCTTGTGTATGATCAGTAGTTTGAATGTCTGAAGAGAGACGGATAAAAGTGCAATCTTTTCCATTTCTTATTATCTTTGGAGCAAATTGACCTTCAGTTTACTAGCATCTTACACATGCTTACTCTTCACGTGGAGATTGTGTTACAATCTGCCAAGTGGGCTTTCTGTAATTGCGATGTCAGGTTGACCACCTACGCCACTACCATTAATAAGAGGTCTTTGTGGATTACCGTTTGCATCATAATACATCAGTTCTGTTGTTTTCTACTGTAAAAAGACAACTGCTCAACTCTAGAGAGAGGGAAGATGCTCTCCAGATTCGACCATAGTTTTAACATATGCAGCACAAAGACAACTGCTCAGCTCTGTTGCATTTCCCTACTAGAGGCAACTTTATTTTCAAGAACTATTTGACAAACCATATCTATATCCATGGCTTATTATTCACGTTATGTATCACTTGAATTCACATCAAAAGAGCACAAAAAGTATGCGTACCTGCTTGAATTCCTACGTTGCGGGGAGTCTTCCTGAGTCTAACATTGAAGAAGTGATGTAGGTAAGGCTCGATCACTCATGTCTCTTTGATTGTTTAACCTGTCAACGCAAAAGCATTGACTTCTGAATGATCTTCTTTTATATGTTTTTTGGTGAAACTTTATTGATTTTTCACTGCTGAAGAAGATAGTTGGAATTAGCTTTTGGATTCACAAGGGTCTTTGTGAGATATAAACAGTAAAACAAGGGAGGCAAAAATGTGATTTGCCATATCTGTTTCATATGAAATTTTTATAAAAATGGGGAATTGAAGATTGAAAAAGTTAAAGTCGAACAAACTAGAGATCCGAGGCGATTCAGATATTCTATCCTACTTTCTTTCCTTCTCCGTGTACACTACTGATATTGGTTTAATATGGTAGTCTGTGTCAGTTAACTTATGCCTTTCTCAAATCTAATGTAGGCGGTCCTCAATTAGAAAACACTTAAGGCTGGAATTACACTGCCTTCTTTACCTGAAATGGAAGGTCATAGGACCTTGGCATACCATGGTGTGTGGCAGAGATTTGAACTGGTGTCATTAGCGTATATCTTTGCATATCTGATTTTGTTCCTTGCTTAAGTAAAATGCGAGCTGTCAATCAAGTTGTTATAAAATAGGTTATTCCTCCACTCAATTGTTTCCACCATGAGCTTTTGGTAACTTACCAGGCCTTTTACTAAGTAGTTTATTTCATGTTTCTCCTCAATTCTCTCTGGCAATGGTGAATTAGTTCTTTAAGCTGCATAGTTCTTGCTTTCTTGGAATTGGTATTGGTATCTTGTGCATAATTACTGTGACATTGATCTTTTACAATACTTGGCCAAAAGAAATATTTATATGTACTGGTGGAATTTATATTGCCAAAGTTCTTTGAGCTGCATAGTTCTTGCTTTCTTGGAATTGATATTGGTATCTTGTGCATAATTACTGTGACATTGATCTTTTACAGTACTTGGCCAAAAGAAATATTTATATGTTCTGGTGGATTTTACTGTATTTGTGGTTCTTCATCAAAGAGCAGGGCTTGAAAGCATTGCTGGCTAATATGTTATTGATACTTTTTCTTAAATGCAGAAATAGCTGCAAAGTCTCCACTCGCTGTTATTGGAACAAAAGCTGTATTGCTGAAAAGTAGGGATTTGACAGTGGAACAAGGCCTAGATTATGTTGCCACATGGAATTCTGGTGCCCTTTTATCAGATGACATGAAAGAAGCAATTTCAGCACATAATGAGAAAAGAAAACCTAGATTTGCCAAACTCTAATTTGGTAAATGATGACATTGATGGAGTTTGAAAGGGTTAATAGATCTGCATGTGACTGAATAAGACTGTCTGTTGGTCGAGGGGCGAGATTGATAAGACACACAATGATGCATAAGTGGTTGTCTGCTTTATGAAGCTTTAGCTTTTGTTAGAGTTTCTAGTATGGTTATGGTCGACCTGAACATTTCTGTCTTGTGAAATTGTACTTCTTGTAAGCCCACAAAATCATATCATATCATATGGAAAAAACACCCAGATTTTTTTTTTTTTTTTTGCAGCATATCTGCTACATCGTACAAATGTTGCAGCATATGTATCGTCATTATATGACCTAGTTCACATGAAACATAGGGAACTTGTGAAAAATGACATCTCAACAACACCAATGTCCAGCTTTAAATCACATGCATAGTCCGGCTTGCAGTAAACAGTCAAATGCACTTGCCTAGTATGGCAAGAAGTCTCATGTGGTTGATAACAGAGTTGTCCTGTTGTTCCTTTGTCAATGCCTCAGCGAGGGAGTGGTGTGTCATCTTTTGGATCGTCTATGAATTATGTTTGTCTTCTAATTAAGCCGTTTAGCCATGAATAAGATTACGAATATTTGATATAATATTTAGAGGTTATTTCAAATAAGTGTTTGTTTATTAAACTGGTCTATTATTTTATTGTTGTTTCAAGATGTGCTTCCTTTAATACATCCATCACGGGACAATACTCAGTGGCGGATCTACACTGTGTAATTATTTTTTACCAGATTTAGCAAAATTTGCATATGTAATTATAAAAATATTTAGATAATATTGAGTGAGCATTTATGACTAAACTTCTTTTTCCTCTTCTTTCGGAATTTTTATCGAGCACCCATGATTTTAAAATCTTAATTCCCCTACTGACAATAATTCTGGTGAAATTGCAGTCTCTCTTGTCATCTAGTTTAGAGTAAAACTGGTCACTTTTCTCCTTTTTAGTGTGTGCGGAAAAAGGAGAGCTTTTGGTCCAAAGGAGCCAAATAACGAAAAAGGAGGACAGAGATAGAGAGGGGCAGGGGAGAGAGCAATGAGGTTGCGTTTCGTAACATGTTACTGCATTTGATTCTGTCCTAAGAATGCAGAACAGAAAAAGATGGGAAACCATCCCTATTCCCTACAGATAAAGGCACAGCGGCAAGGCTAATCTTGGCAATTTGCCATCTTTGATGAGTTTTTCCTCTTCTTTTTTATCTTTTTTTCCTTTAAGTTGTTCTTTGCGGTGCCTCGTGTTTTTCTAAAAGAAAAAGAGCAAAGGCTCCAATATACCTTGGATTATATGATTTAGAACAAATTTATTCTCCGTTAAAAACATATCTTCTTTTTACCCCTGCTGCTACCAAAATGACTCAAATTTGCCATTCTGGCCTAAGAGCAGCAGCATGAAGGGTAAATTTAGATTATTAGTAACTTTAAGAGCAACTCCGGATCATTTTGAGAGTTAAAAGGCAAACTATTTTACTTCAATTCTACCTAGAAGCAAATAATGTATTGTTGTTTTAACTAAAAGATTTCCTACAATACGACATCGGAACTATTCGAAATTTGGTTTTGGATAAGTCATGTAATAAACGTAGAAAGACAATAAATTATCATAATTAAGTTAGGATTAAAGAAAAAAGTCCACACATTCAACTACATAAATTGATGTACTCTGGCATGCCATTTTTTTTCTTTTATAGGTTATTCATAGTTTGGGACACTTAATTACCTTCAGTAGGATTTAAATGAACTGTTTAGGGTTAGAGATTTTCCTTTGTACTTTGCGAATGATCCGGATTTGTCCTTGAACGTTATGAATGATTAAATTTGTCGTTTATGCTGTTGTTAGCCTAGAAGGGCAAAATATAGACATTTCGGTAACACCGAAGGTGAAAATAAGATATTTTTTTTAACGGAGTAAATTTGTTCTAAATGGTATATTCCACGGAAAATTTGAACCTTTGCCCAAAGAAAAATAGAACTTGAGAGGATTAACAGGACGTGACACTTGAGTTCAAATTGTTACTTTTTGCTTAGGAAGTTGTTTATCTATCTATCTTTCTATCTATATTTATATTTATATTATATTAAAAATACGAAGGCCCTTAACAAAATGTCGTTCGCCTTTTTTATCCTTTGAAAACTAATTTCACATTGGATAAAATAGTAATTTAAGTTATTTTCCTAATATGTAGGTATAATCATTTAATTATTTTCCTAATATTTAGGAATAGTCCTTTAATTATTTTCAAACATTTAAGAATTTAAAATAAACTAAAACTTTGTATTTTGAATCTTTCCTTATTGAACAATTATGTAAAAGTCCTATTATTTAGCAAGTTAAAATCAATAAATAAATTTACCTTATATAAATTAAACAATTCGCCTATAATATTATTATTTTTTATACGTAGACATACAAATAAGGAACGTATTTTATACATGTTAATGCTGACTCCAAAAACGTCTAACGGGTAAACTACTACATGTACTTTAAACATGAGTTAAAGTTGGTGGCCTCCAACTAATGAATTCTTTTTTCCAGCAAACCAATAAATTCTTTTTTTTCTTTTTTTTTTTTTTTTTTTTT